TGATCCTAAAGATGGATAAAAAATTATATTCAAGATTAAACGTCATGGATGTAAGATAGACACTTAATCTGAATTGAAAAGTCTTGGTTAAATTAAGATACAATACTCTGCATCCATATCAAAACAAAGGTGAACACAAATTTCTATATTACAAGGAATGGTTAAATCTATGATTTAAAAATGTAGAGGCTATTGAAATATTCAATCTACTCAGCTAAAATTATAGGTATTCAGTCTAATTGATGAAAAAAATCTAAAACTCATGTTTTAGATTTTGAGTCAAATCATTTCTCTTTGATGATAAAACTGCATCTATGTGCATTCCACTTTTTGGCAGGGCAACGTCATATCTAGCCGGCATGAGAAAACAAGATCTTCGGACTCTACTTGCACTAAATTAATAGATTTGTTTATACAATAGACATATATTCGAGGTAAATTTGAGTAGTAATGTCAAAATGAGACAAGAATTATAACATGACTCTTGAGACTAAAGATGAATGTGACAGACTTATAGTTTATTTTGCTACTATGTAGCTTTTTTATCCCATCAAAAAGTACAAGCAAGAGCTCATATTCTATTTTTGGATTCAAATCATTACATACATCTTCAAATTCATGATTGAAATGAATATGTTCCAAAGTAATCAAAGTTTTTCCTAATGTGGTTTCATTGGTCCAATTAAGGTGCATCATATCCTAAGGAGATGAACACACAGCTTGGCACGGCCCGAATTGTATAAAGATTATTTCTTTAATGGTACAACGCAAATGACATTTTAATATAGATTATAAATCTCTCATTTGACTAACAATACTATTTGAAAAGAGGATGAATAGAATATAAAATGAGTGATGATAAATAAGTGTAAAAGACATCACATTTGTAAGGGAAAGAGGAGGGGTTTACTTATTAAATATTGTTTGTCAAAATGACAGTGACTATGAACTTCTTCGTTTCTGAAAAGAGAAGGTTCATTTCAGCACGTCGAGGGCGAATATGTTTCAAATTCATTTTCGTCTCAGATAGTTCTTGTGATTTGTACGTTTAGTCCATATCTTGAGATAAGAAACTGGTCATTAACTTATGAAATAAATATTAATCTATAAATATCTGATGACCGTAAATTCAAATTATGAATGAAAGACACAACTTTGATCGACAGTTTTAATTTCATTGAAATATGGCCATAACATGAAGTGCGAACATTCTCATTTGAATGATAAAGGAAGCCAAAGCAAGCAATCTATCTCAACTGAAACACATTTCTTTGAAGGGAAGAAAAAATGGCTGTGTACATGATAAAGTGTCTGTTCATCGCTAGATTAGTGGCCTATAGATTTAACCGAACTCAGCGAACTCCAAATTAACAGGTTGGGATTGATTATAATACGAAGTTTCAATCTATGTCTTCAAGTGATACTAAAAGTTTCACAAAATAGTTTTACTACAATATTTGTCACATTCTATGAGAATACTTTAATATCAGTCAAATCAAGATGAAGAAATTTTTGTCTTGTACGTTGACTACGGAGGATGGTGTTTTGAATGTAGACAAGAGCAGGGGGAGTCCCATTGGAAATGGAGCTGTAATCTGTAATCTGTAAATCATAAGAGATGAAAAAGGTTTCTAAAAATGCATAATTTGCGCAAGATAGAATGCTAGGAGTTTTGTATCAATAACGAAACACAAGAACTTTATTGTATTTGCTCATGTATACAAATCCATCGTTAACCAGGCCTACTTAGTCTATTCAGGCGTCTAAATTAGCTTAATTTAGTCGACAATGTGTAAATGTGACCTTTATTAAGCATTTAGAGTGCATAAAATGGAACCATGTGAAATTCATGGGCAACAAACCTTAGTTCAGTACGCACTATCTTTTTATTCAGGTTGTCAATCACCCTGTTTTTTAAATACTTCTCTGGTTTCCTCCTGTTCAATATTACAATGCTGTTCTCCATAATTGTGAGTAGCCCCATATAATTTCTGTGATTATTAGCAATCCACCAGTACGAAGAAACCTTATCTATCTATATCTTAAACCTTCAGGTTGTCTCTATAAAATCCAGCACCCTTATTTGTGTAAATACGCCAGCTCATGGTGCACCTATGACATGTCCTCAATTATTCGCAATAATTCTCGAGTAACAATTTCTAATGTCTAATAATCACATGTCTAAATTATAAATTTCATCGGCGTATACATCATTTGCACAGTTAGAATACTTAAAACAACTCACACTCTTCTCATAACCACCCACACATAAATCAAGGGTAGCATGAGTAGTGGCGTCCGGGGACTCTAGTTAGTAGTTTAGACGGAGCTGAATCCGAAAGATTACATTAACCACGCCTGATTGTTAACATATTTTCCATGGTGTTAGACATTTCAATAAAAAAGCATGTATATGTCAACGATTCTGCAACGCTCGAATCTCTCTTAAAATTTCAAAGATAGTCCCGGTTTTGCTAAACTTTATTTCTCAAAACTATTAGTTATAAAATGTTGAACGGCTTTGACTGTCACAAGAAGACCATCAAAGGTTAACGATAGGTTTGAAGAGTGTTGTCAAGAATCTGTTTCATTCAGTTGTATCATTGAAGACTCATCATAAACCATGATACAGAAAGAAAGGGCGCGATGAATTGTATCCGTCTACAATTGTGATGAACGTGAGTGGAAGTCCTACCAGAGTATTTATTATCTTTCTTGTCTTGAATGTACCAAGACATATAAAATACTCAAATACCAGGGTGAATATTATCATTCTTGTCTTGAATTGACTATAAAACACTCTTATATATATATATATATACACACACTTAAATATTGTTCAAAGTTACTAGAATATTTGTTGTGAAAAGTTTTTCATCTAATACTTCATAATGTATATTTTCTCATGCCATGTGTTTATAGCATGAGTAACCACAAAAATTTATGGGGAGTATTAATAATGCATCCGCTATCCTTCATTTAAATATGGGTACCGAAGACAACCTTGTATCCGTGATCAATCAGTGTCAATTAACATCAGTCAGTTCGAATAAAACGAATTTAGACCTTACATTAACCGCATTGTTTACAGTTTATGTTTAGAAGTAAACACATCGGTACAAGTTTATAATGAGTTTATTTTGATTACATAAAAGCAACTTCTTGTCCCATCCTATACAGTACTTAATAGTTGTGCAGCAATTTCAATTTGAATTACATAATAAATATAATAAGAACCCACACTTCAATAATTCCGTAACTACCGACGAGGATTTGCGCGGTGGATTTGTTTCTTTCTTTGAAACTATTACATTTGAACAGAAGATAACATAACCTGATGGTTATGAAATCTATCACAGTAGGGCCCTTCTCTTCTTACAGTAATGAAGGGCGAAGCTTATCCGATCCGGTAAGTGGCGAGATATATGCATAAGAGTTAAAAAATGCGATTGTCATGCTACAGGGTCTGATATTTGAGACACCCTAATAACGGGGACCGGTTTCTTACACAGATCTTCACATACGAAAGAAGCCAAAAAGAAGATAAATAAGTTGGGAACTTTTCATGGGCATGGACTTTATATCCAGTCTTGAAACTATCTACTGATGATTACTGAGCTTCTAGTGGGTATCAGTATACGCCGATGATGTACTCAAAATCAGAATTCTTTGACGAGACTAATTTTGCCAACGTAAGGAAGCGATAAAAAGAACGAAACGCCGAAAATCAGACTGGAGATAAAGAAACGCTGGAGGAACGAGCAGCAATGCATCCTTAAATGCAGTTCTGTGCCACGGTACTTTCAAATCACGTGAGACTCGTACGACTTTATGTTCATTCCTCGAGCACAGCCACTGTTGCTTTCCAGTGGCTCAGTTCTGATTGCGGATAAGAGCATTCTATTCAAGCCCGATCGTCTCGCCTGCTGCTATGATGTTGCACTGCACTGCACTGCGTTGCCGCTCGCCTTGACAACAGGAACTGCGCTTCTTGTCATGTCTCTACGACTCGACAGGCCGAGAACTCCCAGTTCGTACGGTAAGCTCCCTTCTGTTTGTCTGAAGGGCGACACTTCAGTTTCGAGGTCTGTCGAAGGGATGACAGACAGTCGACACGCTGATGGACCAGCAGCAGCAGCAGCAGCAGGCATTCAGGTGCCGAGCTGAGAGTTTGAAATTTCCGATGCAGTTTCTAGCACTCATTATATCGGACGCTCGTCACGAAATCGAAGTAGGGCTTCAAATGAAGGTGAGTATTGCTGGTCCATCGCTCTCATCGACGAAGGGGTTTCAGGTCACTGGAAATCTCAACACACAAAGCGGCTACCTCTCAGGCTTGCAGTGTGGCTCCTCGCACACGACCAAACCTCGACGAGACCACGTACAGATTTGGACGCAAAATTTAAATTCCCGCAGTGAGGGATAGTGCTGGGGGCGTGGGGTGCTGCCTACCTTTGGATGTGTTGAGAGATTTCGTCTCCACGAAGTGCCGGGAACTCTGATTCTCGAAAGCGAGGCAAGTTCCTTGTCTGTACTGCGCACAAAGCAAGGAACAGCACCCAAAGGAAGGCCACCATCTCAACTCACGAGGTGCTCGAGGTTTGAATGTAGAGATCACTTCGGTCCAAACGCGTCAGTCCTCCTCGAAGACTAGTAACTGGGGTCATGGTTATAGTGGACGACATTAAATGTTACATCGCACGACTCCGTGGCCATTGCTTGGACATTCGCGCTGCAATTGTGCATCCGACGGCCATCGTGGTGGCTGTCCAGTACGTTCATGAAATAATAGCCCCAAGTTCAGACAATAAGAGTCTTCCAGGTGGAAGCGGGGTTGCGGAATGCATAGAGATTTCTCTCGACATCTGAACACTAATAATCAATGACACATGAGACTACAAGAGAGTTCACAGTGCTAAGGGAACGGGAAACTTGCACAGCGCTCACGATTCACGACACAACAGCAGAAGACTGCGCCAAGACCGGAAGACGCACATTTTCGAGTAGGTAATCAAAAATTTATGGATTTCAGCTGGAATAATCAGCGCATTTGTACATTTTCGCACGGTCTTTATTTTCAAGTGCTCCTTCCCACGTGCATGAAAGCAGGTGGACTATCAGGCGAAATCTTCCATTCTCTCTGCTCGAACTTACTAATTCACAAAAGCGTTCCGCTTGGATATGTCGTCAAATTTGTACATCTCTTCTTCCGCTCGGTCTCGGTCTCTCCAATCTCTCCCTCTCCCTCCTCCCTAACTAAATTCATGATAATAACTAAAAACATATCACCGCTCGATGTACCGGGGCCCCGAAGAGAAGCAGAAAGGTACCCCACAATCATGGCGGCAGTCGCTTGACGAAGCGGCCCTTCATACGTGGGCGGCGCTCGGCGTTCAGCTTGCGCACTTCGTATCGTATCTGTTTGGAGAAGAGTCGAGTGCGGCGCTTTTCTCGATATCTCATGACTCGAGCCTCTCGTCCGACTCCGACTTCCGACACCTCCTCTCCCATCCCGAGCACGGGGACCTCGCCTAATTGTTCTCTGTGGTAGCTCTCGAGGTCCAGGTTCAGCGCCATATCAATATTCGAGAGAATTGGCACGGTTTGGGGTTGGCCCCCATCCTCAGTCCACAGCGGACCTCGTCCCGACCATGCGCTCAGGACGTCCTCGTAATTCAATTTCAGCGACAGGCACTTAGTCTGGCCCTCCTCACTGAACTGTTGCGTCTGGTGGAACAACGACCCGTCCTTCTCCACTTTGACATTAATCGACTCGAAGCCGTCGTTGCAGACGGGCTGGAATTGGCCGAACCCCTCGTTCTTCACGGCATCGTGACAGTGTTCTGATTTGATGTCGTCTTGACTGAACACAGATCCCTCGTCTCCTTTGTCATCGAGAAAATCCGCCTCGGTGACGATGTCTGTAAAGTCCAGGTACTCATCGTCGCTCCCGCCGACGCAGTCCTCGTCGCCCCTCTCGAGAGAATCCAGCTCCTGGGGCATGTCCATGGGAAACCCATCGCTGGCGCTGCCGTCCCCTCCGAGGTCGTCCACGGATGCTTGCAGATCGGGGACGTAGGCGGGGAGGCCGAGCCGCGAGCTTTCGTCCTCCGGAAGGCTCTCGGGGTACCCGGGCACTCGCGAGGTGTCGTCGGGGTTGGAGAAAAAACTTTGCGCGAGCATTTCGTCCTTGATCATGCGCATCTTGGGGTTCACGTGGTGCTTCAGGGATTTGCTGCTCTTCCGGATTTGCAGCCCGGGGAAGGACTTGGACGAGGTGCGCTCGCCGCCCTTGCATGCCGTTCCATTGGGGTTCAGGCGCACGCGCTCGTGGCGCGACGCCAAAGCATTGACGCAGTGAATGGAATTGTCGCAGCGTCCACAAAGGTAAGCTTCGTCGGCGGCGCAATACCATCGAGCGCGGTCGCGCCCGCAGACGTCGCATGCACGCACGGCCCGTCCGGCCATGGACATCACGGCTGTTGCGGTTTTGGGATCCATCGACCTGTCTTCGGTAGTGGCAGTCATCTCAGCGACCTTCTCGAGTTGGGAAAACACAAAAATGGCACTGCGGGGAACACAATCGAACAACAACTCTCGAGACCTCACTCAAAGCTTCTTCCTGGCAGCAAGGGGTCTATAGCGCATCGACTAACCAACCACCTCCGGCCTCCCTCCCTTCGTCACCTTCCACTCGAGATATTTTCACTCTCGCCGCCGTCGTCTCCGCCACTTGACGATCCCTCGTTTCCAATTGGGCTCAGAAGCTGCGGCTGGTTCGACCTTCGACACGAAAAATATTGACCTCTCTCGCACGAGGCGATGAGGCGTTCCATTTCCAGGGACACTATCGGATCACAAGCTTGCAATCATCCACCAAATTCGACAACCATGGATTCAACTGCGAATCGTCCGAGCTCACTGCCGGTTCCTAGCTCTCGCTCTCTCAATCTATATCTCTCAATCTCTCTCAATCTCGATGATCTGTGTCTCAATCTCGATGATCTGTGTCTCAATCTCGATCCTTCTCCTACCTCCGAGCCTGGAGCAGCCTAGAGAGCGAGCCGGGGGGGGGGGGGGGGGCGTCACGCGATGAAGACTACAATGAAAGGGAGAAAATTGGGGCCTTCATAATGGGAAGAAAATTGTACGAGAGCCGACGGCCGAACTTTGGGCATCGGATTTGAAATGCGAGCGAGGACGAGTTCTGCTTCGCGCAGATTGGCTGCGGGCACAATTCTTATCCCACCTGAGCCATGTCAGCATGCCATGTCAGCCGAACTCCTAGCCCCCACGTCAAGGCCCCGGATGGACCGTACTCCGTCCGTGTGTGACAGTGAGCGCTAGCGACTAAAGTGCCTTTTTAAGAAAGCCGCCATCATGACCGATGCCCTGGGCTCAAAATAACTTCCTCGACCTCCCTATGCGTTAATTCACTCCCCTCCCTCCCCCACTTTTGCTGAACCCGGTTTTGATCGTCTGAGCCTCGAGGCTCTCGCTCAGGCTCAGGCTCAGGCTCAGATCACGACCCGCACTTCGTTTGTTTGTCGGACGCCCCGAGCCCAAAAATCTGCTCTTGACTTCGTCCACTTTTGTGAACATCGGCAGGTCTGTACTTTACGTGACGACACTTCCGTACACGGGCGAGATGAGCAGCAGGGTCCAAGTGTGATTCAGTGACGGGCTTAGCCTCATCTCCCTCCTTCGAGTTCGTCCATGCGCGGCTCGATGGGTTCGTTGTGAATTTTTTTGTTATATATTTCTAATTTCCTGCATTAAATGAGGCAATGATGGCCATTTTTGGAATTTGCAGGAGGATTGAATGAATGAATGAACCCCGCTCGAACTTCGAGAGTCGAATGAGCTGGATACTTCTAGTTCGAAACTTGCTGGTGGGGGATTATGGACTCAAGCGCACTCATAGTTCGGCTTCTTTAGTCTCTATCCGGGCTTGATGGAGATCTCGAAAGGTTTCACAAATCATGAACAAGAGTCAACCATTTGTTTTGCAGGTTTCAGACACTTTGCGACCTTGTGTTGGACAGCACCGAATCAGACTGACGACTTTCGTCAAAACAACGCACTTGCAGTTCTATGCAACAGCATGTGCTGCACAACCTCTGGTATGTCATGATAAATTAAAGCAGAACGTACCTTCTCCGAAGGCCAGGGATTATAAATATGATATCTTTGACGACGAACAACGACGTTGATTTGTGCATGCGATATTTCTTCTGCAAGTCATCATTGTTTCTTGATATGGTACATTATCTGTGCACTCAGAAAAGGTTACTTCCCAAAAGACCACGAAAGAGATCGAGGAAGAAAGGGCTCAGAACCAAAAGCCATCATTTTCAACACCTGAACATGCAACTTTTTGGCATGTACATAACAGGAAGAGAAACGCAGACGGACTCGTACTTACCAATGCTAATCTATTATACTACTTCTCCGACGTACATTGAAAGTACGTGATTCCCCAGGACCCTTTATCTATTGAAGATGGTACATCTCATGAAAATGAGTTGCCAGCCAAACCAAGTTGTTTCGTGTGGCTCCACGAAGTTTCACCTTTGTGATTATTCGCAAACTGTTGAAGAAATACGTATAATACTTGTTCGTCCGTATGATTACATGCTGTACCGATTATACGTCTTATGGTCTCTATTATTGCAGAAGACAGCGGGGCCTGAGATCTGGTGTCGTATGTTGACTTCGGAATTCTGCCCACCATGGGAAACTTCAACTTACTGATCATGAGCTCAGGTTACAATATGTTGGGTTAGGGGAAGAGATGACCTCGTATAGGCTCTATGATTTGGCTAAGTTCCCAAGGAGAGTCTTCATGATCCTGTTTTGCTGAACGTTTTAAGTGTGTTTTAAGGAAAGGGAAAATACACGAGAAACTTCATGGTGATCTCAAATAGACTACGCGGTCATCGTCACATGTAAGTTATCGTATGTATATTTGGCTTGTTGTTTGACTCTTGTTGCAATGGCTTTAACTAAACTTTCTGTAGACTTGAATGACTTATTTGATTTAAAAAAATTCGGCATTTTTTGAGAAGTACTGTGGACAAGGAGGATCAGGATTAATAGGACAAGATGGTCAATTTTAGTTTTGCACCAACATCCTTCCGTGTTAGTGAAACATTTGATGTAGAGGAAGATTAATAGATTTGCTCGGTACGATTTGTCAAGAACATCATAGGTGATCCAAATATCTAGTTACATGGCAAAAGCTTAGAGAGTTGAAGAGCAAATTCCCAGTCTGAAATGTGAGATGATTACGACGTTTGCAGGTCTGTCACGCCGATTAGTGTTTGACTGTCCATAGAAAGAATTAAAGAGATTTTGCGTTGTCTACTTCAAAGGTACATCTTTCCTTAGCGATTAGCAATATAGCAGTGATCGTTGTAAATGCATGGCATTATCTTTGAAAAGAGGAAGAAGCCTCTCGTATCACTTTACCAACACTATCAGTTGTCAATGTCTTGTAAATCGACAAGGAAATTATATGTGTCGTTGTGCCCAATATTATACGAATGCCTAGCATATTAAAAAATGGATGTCGAATTTCTCTACGTTAATAGAATCCTGATTATGGATACTCATTTCTTGATATCTCGTAATCTTGATACAATATTCAGTCAGTCTTAACTCTTCTTATTTATTTATGACAACTACAAATTCATTTCTTGAATAGATGAATGAAACCGTTGTTCGATAAACAAATATCGCAAGTTTTGATGAACAGATAAATGAATAAAATCATCTGGATAATTAAAGTACACCATAGCTACTATGAGTTCTGTACATAACCTTTGTTGTTGAAAAACAGCGTTCCAATATTTGTTACAAGATTTTGTCAACGTAAACTTTACATTCCGGCATGATAAGAGTTTACGTGGCTAAGAAGTAGAAAAAAACTGTCCACAAACCACGACATTCGTCTCTTTTTCATCATAAAGTCGTGTTTACAAAATCCTTGCTGTGAACCCGAGACTCCGAAATATCTGCCTCTTTCTGTTTTGGACATGGCGAAAATACAACTGTGATGAAATACAACCAGCCTCCTGAAGCCTACATATGCTCTGGAATATAGAATCGACAGGGTTTAACGATACATACAGTTGAATATTAGATCAGCATGGACCTGAGTGCCTGCTTCCAGTACAGTATCCGGCCGTGGAGAAAGTTGCTGCGCCTTCGATGTTCTCGCCCAGGGCACGGGCGTCTCACCGGCCAAATTTGGAGATATGTTCTGGCCTTCTTTACCTTAGCCATCTAGAGCTAGTGCCGGTGTCGAGCATTAATTCGACGGAGGGCGCATCTGCAGGGCTTCTCTAACACGCCGCTTTATATCTCCTTAACTGTTACATTATTCGAGAAGAAACAAGTAACGGCAGAGCCCATCCGAATGACAAAGCAATCTTGTCAAATGAGTGTCATGCCATCTCGAGGGAGACGAAGTCATAATAGGCCTTTTGCAGAACAGCTTATGAGAGTCTATTGTTCTGTCCATGCCTCCATGTAAATAAAAACTGGCACTTTTTAAAGACTCACGAGTTACCTCGTTTCACCAAATATAATATCTAGATTCTCGGGTCAATATCTCAACAACTTTACCTCGCATTTCACCAGATTAGACTCTCCTAACGGTCACTGTAACATGGAGCCAAATAATGCGCAAGACTGTCGCCCTGCACCTTTTCCTTCACTGACACAAAACAGGGTCGCGGTCTGTGGTGTTCTTGTTCTTCAACGATGAAGAAGCACAACCTACGAGGAACATTTTAGTCACGAACGGCAGCAGTTTAATAATAAATAAATAGGTTCTTCGAGAACACATTCGGGCCATATTTCTCATTGAGAGTTGTGGATATCGCAAATCTTTTTGATATAATTATTAGAATATAGGAAATTTATCTAGTCGTTTCTAACGCCTGGGTTTCCCTCCCCTTCGTTGGCCTATTATTGGAAGCAAGGAAAGCTATAAAGGTATCGACGAGAATGTATATTCCCGCACTTTGTATCAGCGAAACACATAAAGGACTTTCTTGCGTAAAAGATGTGAGCATCTTTCGTGTAGAAAGTTTCCGATGATTATTACGAAGCGCTCGGAATAAATCCCGAGAGCTTCGTAAGTGTCATGATAACATCAGAAAGAAGACCCATTTAAGCTGCAGTGGAATGAGAAGGCATCGCAGCCCGTGCATGGAATGAGCAAACGCCGACACAGCATGAATGAACAGAAGAAATGAAGCGGAATGAAACTCGATGTGCACGAACTTTTGGGGATTGCGGCCAATTATGCAAATCCTTGTACGGGCAAAGGTTGCACGCACAGCAGCAGGACGAAAAACCAGATCCCCACGCCCGGGAACGAATCCTCTTGTAACGAAGGAACGGGAGCTGGACGAGGCGAAGTTTTACCGCGTGAGCGATGGCAGGCGCTAGCCAAATGCAGTTGCCCCATGTGAATCGACCCAAGTCACCCTTCTATTGTATATATAGATTCTACACTTTCCGGGCCCCTTGCTCTCGAGTGGTGACATCGACGCGAAGCCCCCTGCTCGAGTTTTTGCCGAATGGATCCTGCGAACTATGCACTTTACTCTCATTGAACCCCCCCGGAATTGGCGTGGTCCCCTCTCATTGGACGAGGCTTACGGCTGTTCGAACCAGGTACGATGGTGGAGGACGGACTTCGTGTACACAATCCGACCCTCAAACGAGAGCAGCGTGGGCAAATTGAGCTCGTCGATCCCTCGAGAGTCCGAGTCCGGGGAGAAGCTGACGGGACCAGCTCGGCCCCGCCCAATCACAGCACAGAAAACTGAAACATGCGGTCGTTTTTAACCTGGTTTCTTCATTGGTCGGTCGGCAATTCCTCCGCGCACCAGCCCTGCCCGAAAAAGTGCGCTTCCTGCATTTCAAGGGCAGCTGCAAATCGAATCGTGGCCA